ACAGAAATAAATAGGCACCAAGTGTTTTTGCCAAACCTATCTCCATCTTTCCCAAGGACTCAAGAAGGCCTTCAGAACATTGCCATACAAACATCTCCTAGTCTCAGGAAGCACTGCCCCGTTTTTAAGAAGAAAAAGCTGACAATAAGCAAATCTTTAACAGAAATGACAACCGAATCTGAAAATTCCATGCCAGTAAATGGCGATATTTCTGAACAAGATATAATGCTTTCAGACATCTCTTACCTAAGAATAAGTAATCATGTGGAAGATGGATTTCAAAAGAGTGAGGTGGACAGTCAGTTACATCAAACACCAACAACAAAATTGCAATGCAACGGACCTATCCACTCAGACTCTGATGATTTCTCAGTACCAGAGAAGCCAACCGCTTCTATAAAGGTGCCGGAATACATACACCTGAGCTTCCCACAGGACAGCAATGCTTCCACGGACACACTAGACATCACCATGGATTTAAGTAATTCACTGCATTCTTCTACTGCCATAAATCAATCCAAGGACAACAGCACACTGCCATCTAAATCTGAAGAACCACATCCTTGCTTAAGCAATTCCAGTTATTGCAGTGAATGCAGTTCACATCCTGACTCCTGCAAAGCAGACTGTGAGTTACCCGAGGCCAGCAAAGACACAAGCAGCAAGGAAGCTACTCCTCTGCTGCCTCCATCGAACCACAGTTCATCCCCTTGTTTCCCCAGAGACTCTCGGCAGTCTGGAGAGCACCAAGCAGATGCCAACTGCATGACACTAACAAAAGACGACCATGCAGTAACGTCACTGACCAGCAGCAATGCATCAAAATCCATTCCTTCGTTTCACACCGAGACGGAGAAAAATTCCACCCAGCCAGATGTTTCAGACTGTAACAACTGCATAGAAGGATTTCATATAACGTCTTATCTGCCAAGGAATGAAGTAAAACCTCAAACCAGCAGAGAGATTAGAGAAATTAATCAAATTCATTTGGCGCATGGCGAACTATGTGCCCTCCAAGGCAGGCTGCAGTCTGTAGAGGAATCCTTGCAGTCCAACCAGGAGAAGATTAAAGTCCTTTTGAATGTAATTCAAGATCTGGAAAAAGCCAGAGCTCTGAGTGAAGGGTATGGTGCATTTTAATACTAGAAACCATTTTACTTGGTAATTTATTAGAAGTCTGAAGGAGATGTTAGTGTTCTTTTAACCTCTGCTATTGAAAAGAAAATTATTGAAATATTTAAAGATGAGTTTGCAAAACCATACCTCATGCCCTGTTTCTGATATTCTGCAGAGAAACAAGTATCTATAGCTTGGCATTGATTAACATTGCCTTCACTAAATCCAGTATGAGATACTGTTCAACAACTCCTTTTTATTTAGATTTATGGTGTCAAATACAATGTCAGTAACACACTGTTGGCAGCCTCCTCCTAACTAAAAGCACTACGCAGTAACAACAACAAAACCCAACAGCCTAACGTACTAATGAAATATAATAGATATCAATGGCAGGCAAACTGTCTCTTAATCTCAAGGTCACACATGCACCTAATGGCAAAGCAGCTGAAACGGTTTGCATTAGCAAAACTATGCTCCTGTTGAGTAAATCATTTGTGCCTTTATAAGCAAGCAGTGGCCCAAGTAACCCACTGGTAGACTTTCAGGGCACCACATGGGTGGCTGCATCTCATGACACCATGAGCAACACAGCTGCTTAAGGGGAATGCTTTAAGGACAGGAGACAGCACATCGGTGAGTCTGCTCTGAGAGGTTCAATGTGGTACTAAAATTTCCCTGGGGGTGGCATTGGGGGCTTAAAAGGGCTTAAAACATGAACACAGAGCACATGATGACTTAATGCTTAAAGAAGCACTGAAAGAGCATGAGAGGAACTTCAGAATGACTGCTTCCTGTGCTGTGCTAAGGGTGCATGATCTGAACTTACTCTCAGCCTGTTCTCATGGTGGCTGCTATCTCGGCTGCAAGAATTATTTATGTAACTGATTTATGCTCTGTAAGTAATACCAATACTATAAACGCAACTTACGCCTAAGTTCCAAAGAATTCACACCTTTGTATGACAAAGCATTTGTCATAGAATACATTTTTATGTTCAAAATACACTCTAAATGGCAGAGATGACCTGTACAAAACCCAGCTGGCAGACATGCTCAGATTCTTCAGCACTGTTTGCACTCCCTTTCTGTGGAATTACCACTACAATTTTGCCAAGTTTCACACTGAGATGATGCAGATAAGCGTCATCTAGCTCACTAGCATCATCTACAAACCACCACAGTAAAAATGAACCTTGTAAGTGATTCTGGAGGCAGCATAACAACGTCGGTGAATAAAGACCTCTTTTATTCAAAAACAATCAAAGAAGATCTTTCATCCCAACTTAATTCTTCTAATTCCAGTAAAATTGCTCAATATAAATGTAATGATTGCTTCAGATAAGGCACAGATATTCTAATCCAGATCTCTGCATCATAAAAATGATTTAACTCTAGTTGTTAAACCAGCCTTACAATACTGTGTTTCCCAAGTATAGAACATTTTCAGAAATGACAATTTAATGTCCCATCTTATTAGGTTATTCTTTACAGCTAATTTCATAGTAGGCAGGAATAAATCTGTTCTTCTACTTTACGCCTATTTCAAAATTGCCCTGATGGTACCTACAGAAATATCAAAATTCAAAGCAACTTTTTCTTTTATTGAACAGTCTAGCTCTCTCTACAGTATAGATTAATAGTAAGAGTAAAAATAATAAGCAATAATAATAAAAATCTGAATCAAGGAAGTTTGAAAAGCTGAGAGAATGGAAAGAATGATTCATATAATGCACTGGCTACTTAAATACTCCCAAATGTGCTCAAGGAACATTGTGATCAAGTTTTTTTTTT